GCTGTAGTGCACACTCAGTTTATGAGTGTGACATACAGACACGCATAATACGAAGGAAGTCAGCGTCACCCAGTTGATCTCCAGATAACTGGCATAGGCCGTGTTTCACCATTTACAATGGAAAGTTGGTTTTATGACGAGAAAAAAAAATTACATTACGCACAGAGTCTGCGTCACCTAGTTGATCTGCGCATCCCTATCGGATCCATCAGCGTGCTCCTTATCATCGTTATCATCTTTATTGCCTTTGCGCTTATTTCAATTATCCTGGACATTAGGACTCGTGACTACGGACTCAGGGTCGCTAAAGTATGAATTTTAATTGGTAAATCTGTCACCAGTCAGCTTTAAAAGTTTATTTAAGACAAAACAGTTAGAGTTTCGTACGAAATTTATTGGATGGCGATTTCCTACATGAGGTGAACTCCTGGCAGTATCCAAGTTTTCTTGTGCTTCAGTGATTCGGCAGATTTGAATAATTCGATTGACCTCGTTTTTAAAAATTCGCGATCTTGGTGGAAGACGACCCCACACAACAGGGAACGCTTTTGCACAACCGACGCTCTAACAGTGAACTACGAGGCTTACCGTGTGCCGTGAATTCAATCACACTAGGGTTGATTTGTTTGCCGAGCTTTACTGCACGTACGGAATCTACCAATATAGACGTAGTAAGCTGGCTGCCAGAGAGGATTTCCCAAGTACTAATATATGATCCACCGGATGAAATACTAGGCTAGCCCTAATTGCTAGGTGTTTGGCAGATTTCAATAATTCGATTGACCCAATTGTGAAAAATTCACGGTTTCGGTGTAAGTCAAACCCACGTAGCAGGGAAGACTTTTGCGCAGCCAGCGCTCTACCATTGATCTCCGAGCCTCTTAATTTTAATAGGTATCCTACGGTACATAGGTATGGGTATAGGTATAGGTAGTAGGTATGCTACTATAGTAAAGTGTTGCTTTCCGCGTGCTTGATCATCCACATAAAAAAATGTTAGTCATGTTTTCTCTGAATTCTCGTACTTTTTAAAATGAAATATTTTTGATTTGATTTAAATCCGGCAAAAAAACGGAAAATGAAAGAAAATATAACTCCAGAACACTATACCTAGTATAGCCGACTGAAGACGTTGATAATGTCCAACGGTATCCTGTAACAGCATTCAGTGCACTGTGTTGCAAATTGGCTTTTACTGGAAAACTTTGTTCGTCAAAACGTGCGCGAACATTTACTATAAATAGCAGGACCACATCACATCTAGGAGAGCATTTGATGGAGGGGAGACAAAACGCAAGTGCGAAAGGTCATCATTTTCTTCCGAACTTCACGCCTCCCATCGTAGCATTGCAAATAACTATTCGTGTCACGGCGCACTCCAGGTCCGATGTCCTGGTGGTTTCCTGCCAATGTCCGACTTAATTAGAATGCGTTGATAACATATCTGTTAACTCAAACCTCGTACAATTTGCGTTGTTACGGCATTTTCTTCAAAACAGGTAAGACACAGATGAATTTGCTTTCGTTGGTGTGATAGGCAGTCTGTTATTTCGCCAACTACTGAACATAAAAAGTTTCCTTTCAAGAGATGAGTTCACCTCCTCCAAATAATCCCTCTGAATTCGGCCAGCCCTCTTGTGATCTCCCTATATATATCAAGTTCGACGCCTGCATGACTCAGTGTTTACATTCGAGTGAATTGAAAATAGCTGCATTGAAACACTTTCAATCTAAACGGTACCACTGGTATGTGAGAATGGAGAAAGTTGCCATTCTAAACAGAGAAGGGCAATTTTAAATCAATATTACTGAAGTAAGTATTGACACACAACTGGATATGGAATGCGATCTATAATTTTCATAGTAAACTCCAGACTATGTTTATGAGGTTTTTATTTGAAATGATTTACTCGAAGTTAGGATATTCAATTCTAAGGGGTATCTTACCAATAGCACACGGCCAAGACCAGGGGCTGCATTGCTGGAACGAACTTTACGTACCCAACCCATGACCAATGTTCACAGCCTATCCTAATTTCCCAATAGTTAGTAACCATTGTTCTCACGCCGCCCGCATGACGAGATCGGCGTGCTGCCGTCATACGTGTAGCAGGTGGTAGAGGAACACATTAGCTTACTTTAGTCATTGGGCACATGTTATATGCTATTAGGCTTGACAGTAGCTTGCGACTGATGCACTGTATGATGCAAAGGGGGTTGAAGACGATCCTGATACATATTACCACCGATGACCTAACGCTAACTTTTTCAACTTTAGTAGTAGCGATATGCACCAAAAGCATGCAGCGGCGCTACAAGTAGGGTCTTGAACGGCGGCTAAGCGGAAAGTTGACACATTGTTCCTCCAGACTGACGGCTGCACTACTGTATGTCCTTCTGAACCAGGCTTTAAGGCATCCTGCATCAGGGCGGTACTGGACGTCAGAAAGTCTGGTTTGCGTGTCTGCAAACGTCAAACGTGGGCAGTATGTGAAGACGAAAGTATTGCTTAGCGATGACTCTTCTGCAAACGCAAATGCCCCAGTCATCTTCATCGGGACTTGCATTTGGAGCGCTGTGGATGAATAAGGAGGAAGAATGAGCTCGATAGATGCTGCAGAAGCTTTTTTCCCGAAAATACAACTTACGTGCAAGCTGTCTATTTCTGCGTTGGCTGACTGGAGGTTTTTGTTTGCGAATACAAAAGTGCAAAAAGTGTTATCATGCAATCGCCAACTTGATTGACGTTTAGCGTTATATGCTAAGAGCACTGCGGAAAATACACTTCTCCTTTCCGAAAGAAAATTAAAAGTAAGGATAAAACTAACTGACTGGCTTCCCGGTAGATTAACTATAATGGCCGTAATCACGGGCAAGTGCTGCTATTAAATTTAAAAGCGGAAAGTGCTTATACTCGCTGCAATTTTAGAGACGCGAATAGCTTGGGTCTCTGCTTGTTTTAGGCTCTAAATAGATTTAAAAAATGCCCATAACAATCCCACAGTTTAGTGATTTCTGTGCTCTGGAGAACCATTTAGCGGAGACTATTTCTTCTCATTTATATGCTAAATTTTAAACTTTTAGAGGTATGAAGTCGTAGGCAGGGCCCTAATGGACTTCGCGAATGCAACTACTGACCCTTTTCGCTGACATACAATTGTAAAATTGACTGTAACTGTAAGTAAATAACGGTTATTAATCGTTTTTATGAGGGATTGGGCAGCTTGGCAAGATAGAATTAAAACGTAAACAAATTAGTGACATGTCAATGCGTGCAGGCTCCGGTATTTTCTTGATGAATTGACAGACAGACAGATTTATACAATGTTACCGAACAATCACTTCAAATTGAATGTATATCATCATAGGCGACGGAAAGTGCAGTATTTAAAGTTTGCGAATTCTTATGTCACTATATATTGCTTACGCATAGGTATAATATTAACATGTTTTCGCTGTAATCTGAAATCACTCAGGTAAACAATTTTTCACATCCTCCAGAAGCCTACCCAATTGGTAGAACAACATTCCGTATGTTTATTGGGGTGTAAAATTTCACCCCCTAGATAGTTACAATCTCTAACTCTTAATTGTCTTAATACGCTATGACTATACAAAATTTAAATAGCAGTCGAAAATTTTTATCTTGTCATTAATTTTTTTAATATTTTCTGGTCATGGCCATTTTCCTTTTATTCCAGTAAAACACTATTTCAATTAATATCGTCAATCAGGGGAAATAGCTGAAGAATAGGAAAACCGACTGATATAATCTGTAATAGGTAAAAGGGTATTCTTCAGGGAGAAACGACACTGGAAAAGTGGAAAGGCATTGTATCGCGCATGGCGACTTAAAAACACGAAGCACGCACAAGTCACATGCTTTTAAATTCGAAAGTGAAACCATAACGAAATTATTCCCCGTCAGGCGCTATTATCGCAAAGTGGTCATTTTGTAGTACAATGATTGCTTTCAGCATGCTCCAGATGCCGACTGGGCCACGCCTGTGTTGATTGGATTATTAAAAACTTATATATCAACGCTTACTTGTAATTTTTAACGTCTTAATGCATCTCTCATCGTGACTGCTTATGGTCATACGGATAGCAATGACTATCAGCTTGCATAAAACAGAAGGAATTCGTTACTTTCCAGTCCTCTTGGCTACCGAAAAAGCAAAACAACCGGAGAATTTGCATACAGTAATTAGCCATTTCGTGCTGTTAAATGCGCTTCATGCACATTACTTTCAGTTAATGCAGGCTAGAGAAGAGTAAACGAAAACCCTTTATTTAACTTATTTTCCGTTTAAGTAGTTCTGTTTTTGGGTTATTTTTTGGGGCAGTAAAGACGGAATTTACGGGTCAAATAAACTTACAAAGAGTATTTACACTAATGACATGGAGTGAACCTACTGAACATAATTGTGCATCTTAAGCAGACCGAGTTGCAAGGACGTGGTTAATCAAACCATATGTCGTAATGCAAATTCAGCTTATGAGGGTAACATAAAGACACACAGAATACGAAGGGAGTCTGCGTCACCCAGTTGATCTGCACGTCACTGGCAGAGTTCAGATTTCACCATTCACACTAGGAACTTGGCTTTATGGTGAGGAAGTAAGTGGCCCCAGGCACAGTGTCTGCGTCACGCAGTTTTATCTGCACATCACTGTCAGGGCAATCCACGTGCTAATTTTCCTCGTCATCGTTTTTATTGCTCTTGCGCTTATTTCGATTTTCCTTGACCTGACGATTGGCTTCTGCGGAATCAGAATCTCCGAAGTGTGAAACACAATTGGTAAATCAGCCTCCAGTCATAACGCAATGGCCTAACAACTTAATTGAGATAAAGCAATTAGAGATGTCTACAACGTTTTATTGCATAGGCATTTTACACTTGGCAAAATCCCTATGTGTATACGAAGTTTGTGCACATATAAATATACCAGTTGTCTGGGTGAAAAGTAACTTCTTCGAAATAGACCTCTCAGAAGGTATGGAGAAAAACGACATCGGCGTTTTGATAGGAACAGTTATCTCCCTGATCCTCCTCATTTGCGGAGTCTCTATTCATAGGTGGCCATGTGGTCTTGTGAAGGTTGGTGTGTTCAGCGGCTGCCTCATAAACCACGATGATAAATACCTGGTCATCGGCATCCTCCTTATCATTGCCATCATTCTGATTGCCTTTGAGCTTATTGCTGTCATCCTTGATCTGACAATTGGCGACGCCTGGACGGGAATTACAGCACTCGTATGTGCCTGTATTGGAGCTGTGCTAGCTCTAGCCGCCATGCTTTACTACTACATTGAGATTAATTCGTCGATTTCGCCTATTCTGTCGACTATCGGCATGGCTTTTGCTGTGGCCGTAGCCATATTTATGGTGATGCAGAAAATATCCTGTTAAACATGTATTTTTATGTACTCTTTATGTTACGAATAAATGTTTTGCTATTTTGGAAATAAAAAAAACAACATTGCCCGATCAGACCAGTCTGCAGGTTGCTTTGCTTTGAATCACGTGGTCTTATGGGCGGTTAGGCCAAAGGGGAAGGCTAGAAAAAGAAGCGAGCTATTTCCATCGTAGGAGTTTAGTTTTTGTCCTCGATTGCAGTCGGCTTTCGTGTATCGCGGTTGTGAGCCACAGACTCCATAAAAATGGCGCCATCCTGAGGTGTGGGCCTAATAGTTTGCATAAGCCTGACGTAATTTTGCAACGTTAGCTCTGAAGGTATAACATTGGCTATCGAAACGCCTTGATCATTTCAAAACCAAAATACTGTCAATAAGTTGCTTGCGCGACATTTTGTATCTCTAGTTCTGCTAATATATTAAGAGGATGCCCTCCACGGGCCTAATCCTTCAATTACACACCGGCAGTCATGTTTTCTATGGACCCTCGTACTCTTTGAAATGACCTAACCTAAGATCTAAATCAGGTGGAATAAAATATAAATCGATGGAAATATGGTATGCGTAGGCGACTGAAGTCGCAGGATGAGGTCCAACAGTATCCTGAAACGGCGTCCAGTGGACCGCATAGCAACTGCCGTTTCGCTGGGTAACTTTGCGCAATACAATTTACGCGGATGTTTGGGATGACTCGTACCCCGTCCATTTATCAGGACTACATCACATACAGCAGAGGATTCATATCAGATCGGATGATGGGCAGGCAAAACTAAAGTGCGAACAGTCCTCATCCTCTTCCGAACTTCAGACCTCTCATCGTAGCGTCCCATATAATTAGTCATGTCACGACTCACTCCAGCCCTGCCATTCTCGCGTTTTACTGTCAGTGTTTAGCCCAATTAGGATGTTTTGATCCTACGCCTGATACTTCAAACCCCGAAATCACATCCGCTTCGACCAAATTTTCGCCAACACAGGCAAAAACCAAAATAATTTGATTTCTTTGGTCTGATAAACTCTAACGGCATTTCGTCCTCTCAAGTGCTGTTATAAAAAACGTCATTAGACGGTAATAGGAAGAAAGCTTTAGCATCTTATGAATCCTTAATGGACCGCGTCTGTGCTGAATGCTTGGCTGACACATTTATTCATCAAGGTTTTTCTAAAAAAGCAAATTTTAATGCCTTAATTCATTTTTAATGTTGACTGTCACAATTTTTTTGATCACACGCATAGCAACGGCTATAAGCCTGCGTGCCGCAGAGGGAGCTGATTACAACAACAGTCAGAGACGTTGCGCAGGCTTCTTGGCCTACTTCCTGCTACTTAATGTGTTTTCCTCTAATCACACCTATTGTCTTTAGTTAGTGCAGCCTAGAAAATACGAATGAATACCTTTTAATTGAATCCCTTTCCTCAGACGTGGTTCTGTTTTTGGATTGTTTTTTTTGGGCAGGTGCGACGGAAGTGACGTTCAACTAAACTTATAAAGAATGGTTATACTAAGAAGAAAACGACTCGATCGCTGGGACAATACTTTTATTCGCCCGAAGTTTCGATATCCATCTTGGATTCATCATCAGAGACATTAGCAGAAAACGGTAGCAGAAACCCGTGTGAAAAATTTATTTTCAAGAAGTCATATTGACTCCTTCCAAATACATTCTCTGAATTTGAGCAGTCATTTTTTGACTTTTCTGTGCATACCAAATTCGATGCCTACATGACTCAGCATGCTCGTTCAGCTTAAATGAAAACATTGGTATGAAAAGCCAATCTGAAGTGCACGTCATCATTGCTATGAGTAAATGGCGGAAATTGGCAGACTGGCAGGGATTCATCGTAGAGCCGCGATAATGGTAGTTTTCCATTCCTGTGGCAGTTAACTTTCGTAAATTGACTTTTAGAATATCACCAGTCCACACAATAGCTTGCTCAATTCTATTTTTTTATGGTTAAATACCCACCGAAAAAAGCAAATGAAAACCGAGGCTTTTATTTGGTCATCTGTTTACAGTCGTGCCCATAGGGACTGCAGAGTTGGAATGCGGTCGTGCTTTCTTTGCGTATTGTCCATGTAAACAAAAAAAGATTTTGAGATGCTCCAAATTTTTTTTGCAGTATAATAATCTAGTATTTCATGCGGAATCGATTTGCCTCCGAATCCGTTTGTGTACCTAAAAGTGTTCTTTTTTCTCAATGCGTTCTGTACCTTAAAGTATATGACTATAACAATGGTTTAAGTGAATAGGTTAAACACCTGCCATCAGGATCTTTAGGTCCGGTTCCTTGTGGAAAGGAAAACAAGTGGGAGGCTAGGATGGAAGGAATAGTTTATTCTCTACGGAGGAAGTTGAGAATAGGTTGGAGGCGCTTGACACTCGGGCAGTCTTGCATATGATCTTTCATCTCATTGGTGGCGACCAGCGCTGAAAATATAAGCAGTCTGCCACAGGAAAGGTAATCTCGTCGTTTTTATTACTTCGTTCCTTATTTAAAGCCGTTTTTCCCTCTTCTGTCCCTCTCTTCATTTCGGTTTTCAATACTTTCATTTTGTGCTTTTCTACTGGTTTGCAATCCGAATGAAATAAACTTCTTTATAGGAGTTGCAGAGAACCATTTTCCGTTCTATGAGTTCTGGTCCTTAACTTCCCTTTCGAGGATACTCGTAAAATGCCTTGGCGATGACTGCTCACTGGAAATATCCGCCTTTCCTATACAGAAGGTTTTATGCACATTAGTACATTCTCCATCCGGAGGAACGGCAGTCAAACATACTCCGCACAGACTAGTGTCATGTTCGACCGTTTTCTTTGCAATCCAGGGAATGGATTCAGGAACCGCCTTTATCATCATTTTTGGTTCTCGGTTATCACGTCGATTTGGTGACCTGGCGCTTTCGTTCGTTGAGAAACACCACTTCCTACGGTCAGTAGCGAACCCATTTTAAGAACATTGTTGATTTTTCCTGCAGGAAAAAGAGGGTCCTGTGGAGTACTCGGTCTTGCCAAAGTTGAGGCTTCCGCAACCCTGACTTCAGTTTCATTTTGCGCTGGCATTCGCTTGCCGAGTGGGTCTGACTCTTTCGGAACCATGCGACCTTTCAGTGTGGTATTCCGTGCCGTCTTCTTAT